TCCGTGTGAACGATAACTTTGTTTAGAAATGTTCGATCGCTTTTACATCTCCGTTAGTTATGAAATGAATTGCATGAAATTCAATATGGGCATAGCTTTAGCCATATAATACGCAATGCCAAAAGTTGAATCGAATCGATTCAAAATTCACAGTGCCATTTTCGCATCTCGACCATTTGTAAACCGAATTGCAAACTTTTTTACTTATAAAAGTATTTGAATGAAATTTGATACATAGGCACTTGGGATAAAGGAAAATCAAACGCAATTTCAAAATTTGGTTTTGCGCATGCGCAGTGCCAACTTTTTTATTTATGGAAGAATTTAAACGAAATTTGATACATAGGCACTTGGAATAAAGGAAAATCAAACGCCAATTTCAAAATTTGGTTTTGCGCATGCGCAGTGCCAACTTTTTTATTTATGGAAGAATTTAAACGAAATTTGATACATAGGCACTTGGGATAAAGGAAAATCAAACGCCAATTTCAAAATTTGGTTTTGCGCATGCGCAGTGCCAACTTTTTTATTTATGGAAGAATTTAAACGAAATTTGATACATAGGCACTTGGGATAAAGGAAAATCAAACGCCAATTTCAAAATTTGGTTTTGCGCATGCGCAGTGCCAACTTTTTTATTTATGGAAGAATTTCAACGAAATTTGATACATAGGCACTTGGAATAAAGGAAAATCAAACGCCAATTTCAAAATTTGGTTTTGCGCATGCGCAGTGCCAACTTTTTTATTTATGGAAGAATTTAAACGAAATTTGATACATAGGCACTTGGGATAAAGGAAAATCAAACGCCAATTTCAAAATTTGGTTTTGCGCATGCGCAGTGCCAACTTTTTTATTTATGGAAGAATTTAAACGAAATTTGATACATAGGCACTTGGGATAAAGGAAAATCAAACGCCAATTTCAAAATTTGGTTTTGCGCATGCGCAGTGCCAACTTTTTTATTTATGGAAGAATTTAAACGAAATTTGATACATAGGCACTTGGGATAAAGGAAAATCAAACGTCAGTTTCAAAATTTTATTTTGCGCATGCGCAGTGCCAACTTTTTTTATCTATGGAACTATTTAAGTGAAATGTGATACTTAGGCGCTTGGAACAAAGGAAAATCTAACATTAGTTTTAAAATTTAGGTTTGCGCATGCGCAGTTCCAACTTTCTTATTTACAAAAGCATTGAAATGAAATTCTTCTCACTGAAATTGAAGTAGCACGTCAACAATGGATTGCCCATGTGCAACGCTATCTTTCATATTTGTGGGCGGATTTTTACGATTTTAACAGAAGTTGCATCTTACAAATGGGAAATGAATGCAAGTGGAAATGCGCTTTATGTAAATCGTTTACGATTACTTTTTAACTTGTTTCTTTTGTAGTACAGGGAACGATGTAAAGGGTATTTATATTTTCTTTTTTACTTTTCCATCATATTACTTATTAGTTTATGATCCGCACTAAATAGATAATTTTGTTGAATTTTTAGGCACTAGTGCGCGAAAGTAGATAGTCAATTGTAAAATTGACGTTCCCGTCGTTCATGTTTATTGGGAAAACACGATTTAGAATGAAGGAGTGCAAAAAAGGTTTCTTGTAGATTCTTGCTCCCCGTGTTAACTTAGAGGGTTTATAATGACACCTATCGAAAGAAGATTTTTTTCCTCGTCTAATGATATACGAATTAGTTCATTTTCAGGTGTATTTCTCACTATTTTATCAAAAATTCGGCAATAAATCCACTTACCAAAATCATGTTAAGCCATGACTAGTAAGACAAAAAGCAGATTCAAACGTCGAAATCAATATCAGTTTATGACAACTGGCATTAATTTTTTTGTAAAATGTGGTTCACTGAGGAAAAAGTATTTATATAATAAACAACGTTTACAGCGGAAATATTTACTCTAATAGTACGAGATATTTGTTTTCCGTGCATTTTAATGAGCCGAATGAGCGTGTTAGTGGGTTCATATGTAATCACCACTAAACAAAAATAAAAAAAGAAACGAATCTAACTTTTCTTTATTGTACGGAATAAATTGCCAATGTTTATCTGGCGAAAGCAACGGTGTTCTCCCCTTAAAACTATACCGCTGATGGTTTTCATCCCGGCAAAAGGAATGACAAAAAATCGTCCGGCACCTGCTTTGTCGGGGTGGCGTGATTTGTATTAATTACATGTCAAAGTCATTGGTCACGCCCGACCAGCTGGTCGAGGGTTGTTAGTTCTGTGGGTTAATGTCGCCACAAGCGTCCCATTCCGATTTCCGTCTGTGTGTGAAAACCTATCTCATTCTTTAGGAAATTCCATGGCTTAACATGATTTTGCTAATTGGATTTACTTATTGCCGAATTTTGGATAAAATAATGAGAAATACACCTAAAAATAAACTAATTCGTATATCGGTATATCATTAGATGAAAAAAAAAACCTTCTTTTGATTGGTGTCATTATAAACCCTTAATAGTTAACATGGGGATCAACGATCTGCAAAAACGTTTTTCCCATGTTAATTGCCTATGTTCGGTTTTAAAATATTCACCCGGTATACTATAATAAAGGAAAATGCTAAAAATAAAATATCTGGACCAGAGTTGTGCACAATTGATACTTTCCTACGTTGCTACGTTTTTTGTTACGAACATCGAAGATTAAAACGAGTAATTCGTATCTCCTGTGTTCTGTGCGTTCAAAATAAATCTGAAAACTTATAGATTTTTTTCTTGGGGCCAAAAATATTGCTGTAGAATTTTTTTGGAATTTTTAATAAAGAAAATTACTCGGAAAATTATATTCTTTATTCTCACGTTGGAGAACATATTTGATTTTATGGTCTCCTTTTCCACTCATTCAGTATGTAGCCTGTTAAATGAACCATAGGAAAGCATTATTAGAGGCTTAGTTCGAATTTTAGGTAAACAATTAATGTCACTATACAGGGTGTTACACGACCGTTCGAAAAAAAAAAATCGGGTTGTAGAGGGCATCAAAACAAGCACTTTTTCCAAATAAACCGAGGGTCCAACGTGTTTCGTTTGGGAGCCACCCCCCAAAGAGTGTTGAAATCTGCATTTCTTCTTTAATTTTTTTCTCAGCAACCATAAGAGTTACAAAGTCGGGTGGCATGTCTTTGAATAGGTTTTTGGGTATGCTCTTTCCGATTTTGCAATTTTTTTTTCAAAATTCCTACCCCTAAAGGGCGCACCCCTAAACTAGGGTGCAAAAAAATTCTGATTTCGACGAAATTTGGTATCTGGGGTTTTTTAACATGAAAATCACGAATCTGAAATTAGTTTTTGAAAATTCGAAAAAAAAAGTTCCACTGCAATTCTTGGCGGGACAACGAAAATAGAGATAATTCCACGAAATTTGTTGTGTACATACTAAACGAGTTAAGGAACAAAACTGTCGAACAGTTTTTTTAAATAACTTTTCAAACAAAAGTTATACTCATTTGAATGTTGGTCCTTCGGGTCGCGAAGTGTCCCAAGCCTACTAGTAAGCCATAAACCAATGTGTTGGTTGACAATGTCGCAAAAACAAAAGATTAACGGTTTGAGTCGATATTTTGTTATTTGGAATTAATTCGGTCATTAAATGATTAAAAAAATTCGATGTATCGATTAAAACACCTACCAAGGTATCTTAAAGCGCTGATCGATTGTTTATTATCTAAATAAGGTAGGGGAAATTTGTCCTTAAAAGGAGCGTGTTCTATTGGAAGTTATTTTTCAACCTAAGATTATGAAAATTTTTGATCATAGTGAAAAAGTATCATACGGAAAGTGATTTGACAATTTTTCCGATTAAATGATTAATTCGATGTATCGATTAAAACACCTACCAAGGTATCTTAAAGCGCTGATCGATTGTTTATTATCTAAATAAGGTAGGGGAAATTTGTCCTTAAAAGGAGCGTGTTCTATTGGAAGTTATTTTTCAACCTAAGATTATGAAAATTTTTGATCATAGTGAAAAAGTATCATACGGAAAGTGATTTGACTTTTTCCCCTACCTTATTTAGATAATAAATAATCGATCAGCGCTTTAAGATACCTTGGTAGGTGTTTTAATCGATACATCGAATTTTTTTATCATTTAATGACCGAATTAATTCCAAATAACAAAATATCGACTCAAACCGTTAATCTTTTGTTTTTGCGACATTGTCAACCAACACATGCGAAATTATGGCTTACTAGTAGGCTTGGGGCACTTCGCGACCCGAAGGACCAACATTCAAATGAGTATAACTTTTGTTTGAAAAGTTATTTTAAAAAACTGTTCGACAGTTTTGTTCCTTAACTCGTTTAGTATGTACACAACAAATTTCGTGGAATTATCTCTATTTTCGTTGTCCCGCCAAGAATTGCAGTGGAACTTTTTTTTCGAATTTTCAAAAACTAATTTCAGATTCGTGATTTTCATGTTAAAAACCCCCCAGATACCAAATTTCGTCGAAATCAGAATTTTTTTTTGCACCCTAGTTTAGGGGTGCGCCCTTTAGGGGTAGGAATTTTGAAAAAAAATTTGCAAAATCGGAAAGAGCATACCCAAAAACCTATTCAAAGACATGCCACCCGACTTTGTAACTCTTATGGTTGCTGAGAAAAAAATTAAAGAAGAAATGCAGATTTCAACACTCTTTGGGGGGCGGCTCCCAAACGAAACACGTTGGACCCTCGGTTTATTTGGAAAAAGTGCTTGTTTTGATGCCCTCTACAACCCGATTTTTTTTTTCGAACGGTCGTGTAACACCCTGTATAAATTGATCACGCATACAAAACTAGTTCTAATCGAAGTGCGAATATCATAAGTTGGTTTATAATTGTTAATGTTTTATTTTGTTAATATGTACCTACTAAGATATTTATGTTTAATGCTTTAAAATAAATATTTTCTTGAACAATTAAAATAATGTAGTACGAGCTGTTTTATGTCCATCAAGGCATAATAAGTGATTAAAATTAGAAATTTTGTAGGGCACGACCTGTTTAAGGTGGAAAAAGATACTGGTGAAGTTATTATCGGACCTATAGACAGAGATGATGAAAAACAAGAAATATTTAATTTCACTATAAGAGCTTACGAAAAAGACGATGCAACATCATACGTGGAACAAAGCGTTACAGTGAATGTACAAGATAAAAACGATCATTATCCGAATATTACTGTTACAAAAGATTCCGTTTCTATTAATGAAAGTTCTATATCTACTCTGGATACACAAATAGAAATAAACGATCTAGATCTGGTAAGTACATTGCTCAGAAAACTGCATTCTTGTTTCTCAGAAAGTAGTTAGCCAATTGTAATAGCCCTAATTAATTCAGCTGTTATTTCTTTATCATATCGCAAGTCGCGAAGAGAAGAATCTAGTCAATGAAGTTACAGTGAGTTTTTTTTAAATGCGAACATAGGAGTTTGCATGCAATGTTTTCCCTATGTTCGATTTTAAACAAAAACACATCAATCTATGAGGTGTGCGCGGTTCACATTCCCAAATCGCGCAACTTGTGTGACTATGAACAGCAACTCTAATAGTCTTTATGATGAAGAGCATTCGGTAAGATTTTTTTAAAGAAGTCATGTGAGGCCATGGCAACTTTAGGATACATTTTTCTTAAATTTACGATAACTTGACCTCACAGGCCACGCACTGACACCACAACTCATTGTAAACCAACCTTCAATTATTTGTAGGTCATGTACACCTGGTATTCTACTAATTTGATCTATTCAATACATAAATGAAGAAAATAAGAAAGTAAATAACGAAAACAATTACAATAAATGTTCGAAGTGTCCTCCTTGACATTCTAAGCAATAACCTAACCGATTTCGTAATTAAACTGGATGGCGGTATTTTTAAAAATGTGACAGCTGTCAATTCTATCTACTACTCATTTGAACTACTCAATAGATTGATGTGTTTTTTTTTAATCGAACATAGGGAAATTACGTACAGTACGACACATACAGTGAGTTTTTTTTAAAATGCGAACATTGGAGTTTGCATGCAATGTAATTTCCCTATGTTCGATTTAAAAAAAAACACATCAATCTATGCGGTGTGCGCGGTTCACATTCCCACCAGCAAAACGCGCAACTTGTGTGACTATGAACAGCAGCTTTATAGTCTTGATGATGAAGAGCCCTCGGTAAGATTTTTTTAAAGAAGCCATGTGAGGCCATAGCAACTTTCAGATACATTTTTCTTAAACTTACAATAACTTGACCTCACAGGGTACGCGCTGATACCACAACTCATTGTGAACCAACCTTCAATTATTTGTAGGTCACGGGCACCTGGTAATCTGGCATTCTACTAATTTGATCTATTCAATACATAAATGAAGAAAATAAGAAAATAAATAACGAAAACCACTACAATAAATGTTCGAAGTGTCATTTTAAGCAATAACTTAACCGATTTCGTAATTAAATTGGACGGCGGTATTTTTAAAAATGTGACAGCTGTTAATTGTATCTACTACTCATTTGAACTACTCAATAGATTGATGTGTTTTTTTTAAAAATCGAACATAGGGAAATTACATTGCATGCAAACTCCTATGTTCGCATTTAAAAAAATTCACTGTATGTTGCGTTGCTCATTTTTGTATAATAAATGATAAATAGACCACACATTTGATTCCATTACCTCAAAAATGTTTACAATGTAAATTAATTTTAGGGGAAGCATGCCACTTACAAGGTTTCACTGACGCCAACTAAATTTAGTGATGCTTTTCGAATTGTACCGCCTACGGGTTATCAAAAGGCATCCTTCTTTATTTCAGTTGTAAATAGTGAGCCACTTGATTACGAAGACCCGGAATGGAGGAAATTCGATTTAGAGGTTAGTGGAAATTATTAAAACACAAGTAAAGTTTAATTTCAATTTTGCGCTTGCGAATACACACTAAACAATACATACGTGCCTTTACACATTTTTTTGAGTTTTTGACCCAGCGGCAAAGAGACGGGATATGACGATGTGTTAAGATGTCGAGACTTCTCACCTTTTATTTGTGAATATCGGAATATTCTATTCTGACACTCCGCATTTAGGTATACTGTCCACTCAATTGACACCTTGAAGGAAAATCATGGCTAACAACAATGACTTGACCCCTAAACAAATCTGAAATTTATTGCGTTTTGTAGATACAATTATGCGTTTTATACTTCCGCTTCTGGAAATCGCGTTATTTACCAAAACTGCAGAAAAAGTAAACAAAGAAAAACATTTTTTTCTATTTCGGTGTCACAATGATGATTTTCGCCCGAAAACAGTTGTATAAAGACAGTGATTATAGTCGTTTTTTTTGGTAACTCATCTCTTAAGTTGGCAGTTACTAGTTAGTACAAGTAGGTACTTCGTTGGGTACTTCCATGTTTGAACTTCAAAATGTCAGTCTTACTACGCTGCCAACCTAAAACTTAACGGCATAAAAAGTGTTCCCAACATAAAACATGTTAGTTCTAATGTTCCCTATAGTTTCTGATAATGATTTTTTTAATTAAATTAAAGCACCGAAATAGAAAAAATAGTATGAAAAACGCGTGTTACAATGCTTTATTGTAATACTCCTATCTTGCGGACACTCGTGGCTACGCTTCGCGTCGCCACTCGTGCCACAAGATAGTCGTATTACAATAGGTCGCATTGTAACACTTGTCTTTCAATATACTATTGTATCCTTTAGTCCCAAATCATTCGTGATACAATTGTACGAACGACAAAGAAGTTTCTCGCGTGGCGAATTTTGCCCTGCGCGGATAATTAATGCGCGATCTTGTAGGGCTTGTTAAATCTACATTAATACCAGATAGGGCATTATATACGCATAATTGGAGGCGCATATCATTCTAGTTTAAGATACCGAAAGAACTATAATGATATCGTTCCTAGAAAAAGAAATATGATGGTGTAAAGATAGAACACGGATTTACTATCGTCGTTTTATCTCCAAAGACTTTAAACCTTAAAATTAATTATTTCCAGTATTTCTAAAAATTAACAAACACTATAATTTAACTGAGTAGATATACAATGCAGATCCTGGCTCACTTCAAGGTCGCTCGCCACCTGGTGGTGACCTTAGAAAGTGAGTTAGTCACGCGGCCGTGACTTTGGGAAGTAGGTCAAGGTGAAAGTTAAGTGTCATCCCATTAATTTCCGCGGTCATCCGAGGTCATTTACCCATTAATTTTCAAGGTCATCCGAGGCCATCGACTCCATTGAATTTCAAGGTCATCCGAGGTCATTGATTCCATTAATTTTCATGGTCATCCGAGGGCATTGGCCCCTTTAATTTTTAAGGTCATTCGAAGTCGTTGACCTCATTAATTCTCAAGGTCATCCGATGCCTCAAATTACATTTCCAATGTCGTCAGAGATCATTGACTCCATAAATGTTCAAGGTCATCCGAGGACATTGACCTCGCTTTTTTGTTAACAAATTACATTTTCAAGGACATCCGTAGTAATTGGCCCCCATAAAATATTAAGACCATACGATGTCGTTGGCCCCGTTTTGTTGTGATATCAAATTACATTTTCAAGGTTATCCGAGGTCATTGCCCCAATAAATTTTCAATTTCATTCGAGGGCATTGGCCCCATTGTATGTAGTGTCAAATTACCCGTTTAATGTGGTGTCAGATTTTTAAGGTCACAGGGCAATACCCTCTTTTTGTGGTGGGCAATTACATTCTCCAGGTAACCCATGGTCAATGAACCCATTTTTTTGTATATCAAATAGCATTTTCAAGAGTATAGGTCAAAATCATCATGTTTTGCGGTCTCAAAGTACATATTAGAGGTAATCAAAAGGCAAAGACTTCTTTACGTGGTGTCTAATTATATTCTCCAGGGGCGGCTACTACTAAGGGCCGCATGGCCGCGGGCCCCTCCTGAAAAAATCACAGAAAACAGAAAAAAGAATTTGTTTATGCGGCCGGCGTTGCCATGACAACAGACAGTAGCATGCGCACTGCACTACTTTCAGTCTGTTCATTTAGATTAGCCTTTGGCCGCACATCTTTAGCGGCTGGAACTCAGCAGTGCCCGGTGTTATACGTTGATTTGTATCGAGTTTTCACATGAACGAGATTGAGATTGCCTACAAAATAACGTAGTACGAGTGTATGAGTGTCCAGTTTGTTACCGGTCCTGATATTCGACTTTCTGTTTTTATGACTATACTTACCTACCATATATTTTTTTCTTTTTATTTTATTTTGTGAATGTACGGCTCGAGGTACGGCTTGTATAAGAAATAAACTCGGTTTATACCTACAATTACACCTGTAATTGTTGCCATACTGGTCGTTATATCGAAAAAATTCGTATTATGAACGTCTATATTTTTGTATAAAATAATTTTTAATTGAAATTCAGAAGTGCCAGGAAAACGCGTGACCTTGAAAATTTTAAAAAAATTTCCCTGCGGCGCAAAGTGGTCTCAACCCCCTCCTTCAGCCATCGCCGCATTTGATAATGCATACAAATATATCTTCGCGCCCCCATACTCAAAGTGCACGAGCCGCCACTGATATTCTCACGGTCATCCAAGACATAGAGTAAATAATATAAAGAGATTCCATGTTGTATAAATTTGTGGCAGTGAGAGACTATCCCTGAACATAGATGGCGAAAAGCAAATGCCGGCGCTCCCTCTGGATTCAATAATAGTGTACTAAATTATTACTAACACTGCTTGTTAATGTTGTTATCTCAGCTCGCTGTGCGTTAATAAGTGGAGAATGGAGTGGGCGACACGCGACCCTGAAATGTGTACTTTTATTTATCAGCGACATTTTGCTACTCACATAACATTATTATAATAAATGTGCTGCTCCCATTGACGAAAGATGGTCTTTACCTTGACCTACCACAATTTGTCATTTAATAATAAACTTTTGCATATCGTTTGATCATGCCCATTATAGAACATTATCTTAGCTATATTTGCATCGCAAGACGGCATAGCGTTTTAAATGACATCACTGATTTACGTAACAATTATTTTATGAAAACTCAAAATTCAAAGTAAATACTCGTAAGTGCCCCCTTCATACTGGTTTGTTTCACAGTGCTGCACTGCGTCCTGTCCTGCCGCTTAGCAGCGCTGCTAAGTCACCCAGTGCGAAGGAGCACTTACGAGTATTTACTTTGAATTTTGCAAGTATATGCATTTGCTCACTTTTATTCATATGGGCCATTGTGTAGTACAATAGGCAAAAAAATTTCATATTTATTGTGTGCATGTTTTTGAACATGAGAAATACATTCATGTACGGGGTGCTTGGATTTGGCCCATTTTTAATAAGTTTATTACATATGATATAGAGTATAGGCCAACTGTGCGCAGTTTGAACCGAATCGGCTCAAGCGTTTGGCAGTTACCTATCCTGTTCACGGACGGACAGACGGACACCATCGACTCTCCTATAAAGCTTGTATCGCTTTGTTCTGTAGCTTAATTATCATTACAAAAAAAAAGAAATTTCAATGCTGTGGACATGGACTAAATTACACTAAGAAAATTGACGAGAAGTATTTCAGAAAAATTTCATCACATACGTCATAAGAAGTAATCTACATAATCAACGTCCGACTTCAAATTCTATTATAGAATTAGATAAAAGTGAAAATGGCCTTGTAATGTGATCTTCATCTACGCCTACGTAAATTTTTGCTTTATCTTCAAGTCATAAAAGTAATTCAATCTTCGTAAAGTAGGAAGTAGGTCAGGGAAGAGAGAATTTTCCTGATTTTTCTGTGCGGAACTGCCGACTGCCCAGTGCCGAATCAGTTCCGATGTAGTATTTTTTTAATGCCTAGTATCATTGTATATACATCTTTATATACAATGGTAGTATGGATGGAATGGATCTTTGCTCTCACAAATACACTATACAGCACTCCCACATTAGTGAATTGCGCAAAAGGGCCTTGTTTGCGTAAATTCCACACAAAATTCCTAAAGCAGTGTTAAAACGGTCTACGTGTACGGCTAATCCAACAAAAACGTTAGAAATTATACGCATAATCAGTTATATTTTCTCACTGTATTTAATTTTCATTGCTAGCTAAATTCAAATAAAGTTTGTAATTGGGTAAAGGTAAGGCGTTAAAATAATAAAATAAATAGGTCTATGGCCTGAAAGAATTAAAAGACTCCTTGCATAGGAAGCATAATATCACATTCCGGTGATTAAATATAATGCTGACAGTATCGGTCTGTGTCTGGTGCAAAGTAATGACGTAATTCAAATCTCAACTTTGTTGTCAGTACATTTAAATAGGTAATACAGGTTACATGCTGCTATATGGTAATACAGCGATACAACAGCTTTGAAGAACAGTCACAAGATAGCAACACTTCCTTAGAAGATTTTCTACTGCAACAATATACTATCCCATGACGCCTCTTTATATTATTTGCTATATGTCCAAGATCAATGAATTCATTTTGTCCGTGTAAAATTATATTTTCTCAAGGTCATCTGAGGTCAATGGCCTCGTTTAAGGCAGTCTCTAATTACATTCTCAAAGTCAGCCAAAGTCAATGGCCTCATTTTTATGTGGCGTATAATTTCATTCTCAAGGTCGTCCGAGGACAATGAACCCATTCTTTGTGGTATCAAATTACGTTTTAAAGGTCATAGAAGTTCAATGACCTCATCTGTTGTGGTGGCCAATTACATTCTTGAGGTCATCTAAGGTCATTGGCCCCATTTGTGTGGTGCCAAATTACATGTTCGAGGTCATCCAAGATCAATGACCTCATTTTTATGTGGTGTCTAATTACACTCTCAAGGGCATACAAGGTCAAGGACCCCAGTTTGTGATATCAAACTATACGTTTGAAGTAATCCAAGGTCGAGGACCTCATTTCTTGTGATGTCTAATTACACTTATGACTTAATAAGGTTAGTCAAGATCAATGAAACCATTTTTAAGGTGTCAAATTACATTTGCAACGTTGGCACCATTTTTGTAATGTTATCTATTTTTATTTTCAAGGTTATCAGCGGTCAGTGACCTCATTTTTTTGGTATCAAATATCACTAGCAGGCCTTCCACGTGCATTCATTTCATCGAACTTGGAATTAACGCCATGTCTTCGAACTTGGAACAGAATGTTGAAACACCACTTCCACGTTCGCACATGGTTCGTACAAACTTGGCGAACAAATACAGGTACGATTGTGCACGCGAAAACAACGATATGCGTTTTCGGTTCCACATGTACTACAATGCGTAAATCTATCTCACTTATGTCTTAACTCCAGGAGCGACAACCACATCCACGCACGCGCCAAGCATCGCTCCGCGCCAAGAATTTAGGGTTGGCAAAACTCTTCGCTCCGCACCAAGAACGATGCAAACTTTGCGCGATGACCCCTTCCACGTTCGAACTTGGTCTGTTTGTAGGAGTGTACACTCCAAGTTCGATGAAATGAATGCACGTGGAAGGCCTGCTTTAGGTCATCCAAGCTCAATATCTCCTCCAGCCGTTCAGGAGAAGTTCAATCACAACATAACGTACAGAAGAATTTTATAAATTTAATGAATACGATCGCGCTTATTTGATACTACCTATGTGGTTTTTTTCAATTCATCAGCATTATCTAATACTTTTTATCAACTCCAATAATTATAAAATAAACAGAAAAGCGATCAAAAAGGGAAAGTCTATTTGTTTTGGTCCAATTATTACGCGTCTGGGTTCGTATAAGAAGCTGCATAGCATTTAATTGGCAGTTATGGTTTACCGGTTACTTATAATAGACTTTTTTTTGCAATCCTAACGTACTCGCATAGTAACTTTATTTGCCTGTAGCATAGAGTAAACAACGTTTACTCTATGCCTGTAGTTATATCGCCTCGTGAGGAATCTCATAACTTAAATACCTAATGCACAAATTTTTTTAATAAACAGGCTATGTGTAGGCATCATTGAACTGTATACTCTGTAACTGGAACGGCACTTACACTGTTTGCCGGAGCATTGCTTGTTTAGTTTGTACCACTATGTAAAGATCGTTTTGTTCGCAAGTAAAGTGTTCACATTGTAGTGGATGTTTGCGCTCTTTCGGTTCGGACACGGACGACGAACAGTAAAAACTATAAAATCACAAAACCGCCGTCAACTATGCTCGCGCGCGCCGGATGGTTCCCTTTGATGTACCGCTACCTGACCGAACAGTCGAAAGTGTTTTACCTGATTGCAAGCACTCAAAACGCTGCAAACAGGCTAAACACGACGAATATGATTTTGGTTATTCTTGATGCTGCTGGCTCTGTTTGTTTCGTTCTGCTTGTTCGTGCTGCTCGGCGCACCTTAAAAGGTGGGAATAGACCAAGCAAACATTGTTGTGCCACAGTTGAACAACAGTTGAAAAACACACAAGTTTACACAGTGCGTACGTGTTGCGCAACAGTTGTGCACCTGTTGCCGAACTGCTGCGCGGTGTTCGCTCATGAGGCGGTACTTCAAAGGAGATGTTGCCCTACAGTGTGCACACAGCATCTTCAGTGTAGACGCGTATAGCCGTATACGGGTCAACTTTAGTGAACGAACACTGGACAAACACCGGAGAAAGCAGGCTGGTCGCTGTTGACCAACAGTTTGTCGACAATGTTTTCTCCCCACGGAAACAAGTTAGCCAACAGTTGCCTACCTGTTGTTCAACTGTTGCACAACAATGTTTGCTTGGTCTATTCCCACCTTTACGTTTGGTACGTTGTTTCTATAAACATCCTTGTCTGGCACATTGTTTTGTAAAACGCATAAACGCCACGTGAGTGCAATAAGTACAATGAAGTATACCTACCTCTACCTATCTCTCTTGTCACGGCGCCCTTGCATCGTTTGTTTACGGGCGATGCCATTCCAGTTACGAGTAGGTATCTAGTTCAATGGTAGGTATACATATTATCTGTGAACAGGCTGGGCCGTTCCTCTACAATCTATATATTCACACTGTACAACTGAATTCCGTCTCTTTGCACCTGGACACAAATATTAAGATTATTATGATGTTCCTGGGTTCATAAATGAGTAGTTTCGTCACATTGTGATATACAGGGAGTCAAGTTTCTTAACTTGACTGTGTTGTATCAGTGGTGTGCGAAAAACTATTTCTTCTACTTATACAAATGTCTACTGATCCCAATTAATTGATGTACCTATTCATGTCTATTCACTCGACTCGTCCTTCTCTTTGTCGAATAGTTTCAGATTTTCTGCACCGTAACATCTTTTGGTGACAAATCGAATCGACCACAGGTCTGTGCTATAGGAAAATAATCAATAATATGCCGCATATTTTGAAATTTCTTTGTTTAACAGATTCGTGCTGCTGAAACCGTAGATGAAACTCGTTTCAATACCACGACCATCCATGTATCGTTACTAGATTTGAATGATGAGCCGCCAGTATTTGAACAAGAAGAGTACACAGTTAATGTGACGGAGGATGCAGGTGCTGATTTTTCTGTTGCGACTATCGTAGCAACAGACAAGGATAAAGACGATGTAGTAAAGTAAGCTCCTACTATTCCCAGTGCTCGAAAGATCAATATTTTGTGATTTTTTAGATACAGTTTGCTAGGGTCAGCGGATAAGAACTTCAGGATAAGCGATGCGGGTCTAATTACGACAAAATTTGCGAAGGTATTTGATTATGAAAAGATGACAGTAGTGATCGTCCAAGTTCTTGCGCAAGACTCACTTTACGAAAAGCCTCACCGGGCAACCGCACAGCTAACAATCAATGTTTTAGACGTTAATGACGAGACACCCAGTATAAGCGTAGTACGTAAATATCGCTTTACATTACATGGAAACTAATTCGAATCGATTCCTGTTGTTGTGGGTGCTGTAGGCACACTCCATTAGGAAATCTACTAGTTCAATTTTCAGAAAAGTTTTAAGTCGTTCTATCACCGATAATAATACAATTTTTTAGATCTCTATTCGCATTAGTTTCCTATATAATAATCGACTCAGCTATTCGTGGGCCACCCTGTATCTTAAATTTAACACTAAGTATTATAGAAAATTTTGTATTGCAGGAAGGACTGGAAATAAGTGTACAAGAAAACGAAGTAGTTGGCAAATTAATTAACGATAAAACTAAAATTACGGCTACTGATCCAGATACCGAACCACTCTTAGAATTTTCAATAAATTGGGGCCGGTCAGTTGCAATAAAAAATGGTCAAAAAGTACAACATGGCATCGGGTATGTAATCGCTTAACTTTTTAATATTACAATCTAACGAGATTGTAAGATTTTAAACTTCTAATATCTTACAATTATTTTGCGGGTCAAGCACATAATTCACAAACTAAAAGAAGGATCCCATACGATTTTCAAAAGGGGAATTTTAGATAAAATCATATCCTTAATGCAAATTCAGAATAACAATAGTAAACGTAACGTAAAGCGGACGAGTCTCGTTCAGAGCTTCCCTTTGTGAGTACCCCGAGAATTTAAACAAAACAACTCGCAAGATGATAAATTGCATGTACATAAAAAACATCAAAATGGCATAACTCTGCTCGGTCATCGACTACCATTCATTTAACGCGAAAAGTACAGGTGAAAATGCATGAAGTTTTCGTGTTAAAGTCAGAGATTAGACTCAACATTATGACACCAACAAAAAACCATTTACCCACGCCGACTTTTTGCCAACCTTCATATGCAAAAATCTAACCGTAAGGGCATGTATGTCACGACAAAGGTAAAAGGTAGCATTCGAAAACTTACAACAACATAGATAGATTCTTTCTTCTTATGAAGATTATTTCCTTTATGTAGTAAATGCACTAGAATTGCTATCGTTACTGTCCATATTTCAGCAATTAATTTGCAAACGTCTAAATTTTACCGCGGTCAAAAATGTGTGTAAATTTTATCGTTTTTGATTTGATTCGTTTTACCTAAATAACAAAGATACTTAGACGATCACAAACATGCTCTTGCTTAGATTTTGTTACGTGGCAAATTGACTCGACGTACTTCTAAGCAAAACATTTGCCGACAACGTCAAAATTTAATCGGCTATTTTTGTGCACTTGGGATATTACTGTTGACAATTCAACTCATGTATAAAAAATCGCATAAGCCGCAGTGAAATTGTCACTTTGACAGCGGCAAAAGTTACCTGCAACTTTTCCAGCGACAAATGCACTAGTGGTTTTTTCACTTATTCATTTTCGAACCAATTATCGCATTATCCTTTCCCATATGACTAGTTTGACGTCTGTCAATAATTGATTAATATGGTGAATTTCTTGTTCGTTAAATTGTCCTGCCGAATTACACTCGAGGTTTGTATTTAAACCGAGTAAATTTGGGTTGTTGCAATTCAAATCTGTTTCCTTTTAGCAATTGAACTCGAAAAACTGTCAACCTAAAAATGCTCCACCTGCGGTGTCGCATTTTTATTAGTTGACAGTTTTTCTCGTCTAATTGCTAGGCAACAGATTTTCATTACCTAAACAACCCAAATTTACTCGGTAAAATACAAACCTCTTTGTGCAATTATAAGTGACAATTCAACTCATGTACTGCAACTTTTCCAGCGACAAATGCACTGTATAGTGGTTTTTTCACTTACGGGGTAGCAATTAATTTGAAAACTTACCCCCCCCCATGTCTTAGGAAATAAACGACATATTTTAAAAAATCAAAATCCGTTTCGGTAATACGGAGGGGGAATCACAATGACATAGTTGGCGACGCACCCCTCCAACCCCCTGCGCCCCAGCCACCCCAACTTTTAAATCTTAAATAGTGACCCCCCATGTGTGATACGTCGTTGGAAAGCTCTGAAAAAATGCTTTCCAACCATACAAATAGCATTACATTTAGGTTAGTAATTATCGTGCAAATCAAAAAATGATACATTTGAAATCTGTCGTATTTAAAACGCAACCGGCGAACTAAAGCTGAATTTACAGTTCCGTACCCGCAACACCTTACCGTAACGTTTGGAATTAAACCCTACTTGTTGGGTGTGAACATTTATAATTCGCGTTAACGTTGCGTTAGAACGGTTACGGTACGTAGGAAATGCCCAAATCTTATTTCTTACGGTAAATCGTGCTAACGCGCTTGTGTTCGGTAGTACTCGGATAATTCAAACAGTTGAGTTTCGTTTATTTACAATAATTATTGACACTTTGTTGGTTATTATTATTTTGAAATGCACGTTACTCTTACTGACAGATGACATACAATGACAGAATTCGTTACGCGCTAATGCGCAAGCTGCCACTTGCCACTACGGAACTATAAATCTATAATTTTCGTTAACGTAAGATTTTACGGTTCCGTTCTTACGTTCTTACGGCTACGGAACTATAAATCCGCCTTAAGACAGAGAATAATTCAAGAATGTCGAAATATTGCAAAACTAACATTTGAAAAGGTTCGACAAGAGTTTCAGTAGTACTACTGCCTTACCAATAACGGAAACCATTTTGAACATTTATTGAAATAAAAGCCAACTTTAGAAAATGTACGAGGCATGTTCAATAAATACACGTTCGAACGCTGTTGCACGAATGTTAGTTGTGCTATAACCGCAGAGAGTTACATAGGACGGTCGTCGGTAATGTAGGTGTCTACTGTGACAGTTGACTCGTGATATTCGTAGAATACACAGTTGTTGTGCGCGTTTCAGTATGGCAGGTCATATCGTTGGAGCGTCCAAAATCGATCACCGAGCAGTACCTGCTTTTTCGATCACCGTGGACCATGAATTTAAAGACCCTCATGTTAACATCAATGCTGTCCGATACAGTGAAACTTTGACTCGCTTGCGTACAGCCATAAAGAATAAACGTCTTGGGATGCTTACGAAAGGCGTGATTCTCTTTCACAATAACGCCCGTCCGCATATCGCTAACATTATCACGTCACAGATAGCGCGACTGAGGTAGGAGGTATTAGAACACCCCCGTCACAGCTCGGTTCTGTCACCCTATTACTTCCATGTCTTTGGACTCTTAAAGAAGGCACTCAAGGGACAGCGATTCCATTTGGACGCTGAAGTCGAGCAGGTAGTTTTCACATGGTTCTGTCAACAGCCACAGGAGTGGTATGCCACCGGTATACCGCGTTTTGTGAAGCAGTGGGATGCCTGCTTATGTAGTAATGGCAATTTTGTTTAGCTTAAATGAACCGCTTATATGTAACATCGCTCGAACGTGTATTTATTGAACCTGCCTCGTATCATATTAGTTTATTTTTAGCGCATTTCCACAAAAATAAAAAAAATGCGCTGTTGTGGCCACTTTGTCCGTCCGTCCGTCCGTCCGTCCGCTCGTTTTGCGACGCTACTAGTTCTTTATCTTAAGAGCTATTGTTCTACTTTTTTCGCTATTTGGTTCGTTATGGTGTCGAGTCTTGTACCAAGGAAGGAATTTCGTCTGTACCGCTTACAAAAAAAGTTATTGTAAAAAAAACAAAAAACCGTTTTTTTTACATGTTCTATAATTTTACACTTTTGCTAGATATCGTTTATAATTTTGCATTGCTATCTGTCGTCTGCATGCTGGTCTGTCCGCCTGTTCCTTTGTCTGTCTGTCCATCTATCTGTCCGTGTGAACGATAATTTTGTTTAGAAATGTTCGATCGCTTTTACATCTCCGTTAGTTATGAACTGAATTGCATGAAATTCAATATGGGCATAGCTTTAGCCATATAATACGCAATGCCAAAAGTTGAATCGAATCGATTCAAAATTCACAGTGCCCTTTTCGCATCTCGACCATTTATAAACCGAATTGCAAACTTTTTTACTTATAAAAATATTTGAATGAAATTTGATACATAGGCACTTGGAATAAAGGAAAATCAAACGCCAATTTCAAAATTTGGTTTTGCGCATGCGCAGTGCCAACTTTTTTATTTAATGGAAGAATTTAAACGAAATTTGATACATAGGCACTTCGAATAAAGGAAAATCAAACGCCAATTTCAAAATTTGGTTTTGCGCATGCGCAGTGCCAACTTTTTTTATTTATGGAAGAATTTAAACGAAATTTGATACATAGGCACTTGGGATAAAGGAAAATCAAACGCCAATTTCAAATTTGGTTTTGCGCATGCGCAGTGCCAACTTTTTTATTTATGGAAGAATTTAAACGAAATTTGATACATAGGCACTTGGGATAAAGGAAAATCAAACGCCAATTGGTTTTGCGCATGCGCAGTGCCAACTTTTTTATTTATGGAAGAATTTAAACGAAATTTGATACATAGGCACTTGGGATAAAGGAAAATCAAACGCCAGTTTCCAAATTTGGCTTTGCGCGTGCGCAGTAACATTAGTTTTAACATTTAGGTTTGCGCATGCGCAGTTCCAACTTTCTTATTTAGAAAAGCATTGAAATGAAATTCTTCTCATAAACTGAAATTGAAGTAGCACGTCAAAAATGGATTGCCCATGTGCAACGCTATCTTTCATATTTGTGGCCGATTTTTACGATTTTAACAGAAGTTGCATCTTACAAATGGGAAATGAATGCAAGTGGAAATGCGCTTTATGTAAATCGTTTACGATTACTTTTTAACTTGTTTGATTTGCACGATAATTACTAACCTAAATGTAATGCTATTTGGTATGGTTAGAAAGCAAGCACGTATCACACATGGGGGGTCATTATTTAAGATTTAAAAGTTGGGGTGGCTGGGACGCAGGGGGTTAGAGGAGGTGCGTCGCCAACTATGTCATTGTGATTCCCCCTCCGAATTACCGAAACGGATTTTGATTTTTTAAAATATCTCGTTTATTTACTAAGACATGGGGAGTGGTAAGTTTTCAAATTGCCACCCTGTATAAACGAAAACAAATGGTAGATAAACAAACAGAAAACTCAACCACATATATTAAAATCCCAGTTTAAGTACTCTTCTACACTGTAGAATGCATTATTTTGCAGACGTTTTCGCACTTGAGTTTGAAATTGTTTTGTTGGCAAGCATCTTATTTGGGTAGGTAGTTTGTTCATAAATTTTATACCGTTCCTTGTTCGTGTAAAGCGTAGTTTTAAAAATGTTAAGTCGTTTTGGTTGAATGAAAATAATATAATATTTTCAGATATACGTATCTAAAATATCTTGAGAAAGTGCTTGAAGTAACGACTTTGAAAGTATAATTTTCAAAAATTTCCGGGGGAGTGCTCCCGGACCCCCTGCCGGTGGGTGCCCCCCCCCCACAATCATTGTTAAAAAATGCCCTGTAAAACATTTCACTCCAGGCCTAAGGACGGCCTTGTCTGTGCTGATAGTCTATGAGCCAGGCCCGTAGCCAGAATGAAGTAGCAGGGGTGGCCGGTATTTTTCTAGGTGGAGCTTAAGAAGTGTTTGATATCGACTGCCTCTGTAATTTTTGTAAAGGAACCATCAACCGAATTTCCAGTGGGGGCAAGACCACGTTCTAGGTGGGGCTCAACCCCACCTGGCCACCCCCTGGCTACGGGCCTGCTAAGAGCTAGTGGTACATTTTTATTATTGTTGAAATTTGGATACCTATAGGATAGTTATGTATATGCTAATAACATATCCGAGCGTCTGGCAGCAATTCCACGGATGGTGCGGTGGCGGTGGATGTTCGAAAAGGGATTAAATTTTGAAACTTCAAACAATTCTATTATTAATGAACCTTTTTTATGCATTATTTTTTAAATTACTTCGGTTGATTTGCCGGACCGACAATCCTTTTGGTACGTGTTGCCAGTGAACGCTTCTTTTTTTAACATTATTGTATAAAACAAAAACATGCGCACGTCCGGGGTTCGAACCCGCGACGTCGCATTCAAAATCGGCGATATAGTCATACATGTGCGCCAATCGGAGGGCAGTAATGGTACTTGTTTATGCTATTGTAAATGTGACAATTCCCTACTGCGTATAATTAAAGGCGCCTTTCCAAGTCTATATACCGCAAAAATCGTCTTGCATAATTATTTATCATTTCAGTACATAAATAAAATAAAAAAGGTTCATTAATAATAAAACTGTTTGAATTTTCAAAATCTTCGACCACTCACCGCCACCACACCATCCGCGAAATTACTGCCAGACGCTCGGATATGTTATTAGAATATACACTACTATTCTACCACTAGCTCTCCTACTATAAGTATTTGTCGATACAGCCAAGGATCTTGGTCGCACTCATATAGAATTATGCCGATAAACGTGTAATTTATACTGAATTTTTACGTGTAAGTAAACACTATTTATCTACACATTTCACACACTCTTATCTACCTTTAGTCCTTCACTGGAACTCTCAGAACCGTATTATAAGTACGTACCTATACTTATAAGAAATTATTCAATTGCTTTATAAATGTGTAAGGATGATTTTTATGTTGGGAGCTGATGGGCTATAGCATTTAAGTGCGTCTAGCTTTCTCCCTAACAAAGTTGGTAAACAGGTTGAGGATTATTGCTTCGTTGTTGTATTCATATACATACAGCATTATCCGTTTTCGGGATATTGACATTTTGGGTTTTTACCTTATCAACATATACGTGTCAACCAGCCCTTCCATTTTCCTTGTGCGAATACCTATTTACAACACTCCGTTCTCGAGATTTTCGTATTTGAGGTTTTGACCAAAAGAATAGTCATGTCTGGTTGAGACGCACAATTTTCTCTTTTCCAAGTTTTCCCTGAACATCGAAATTCCCTCCATCAGGTTACGTTCCCGAATACTAGACAACGTACTGAATATTATGAAAATCTTACACGTTCTATAATATATCAAAAGTGAAAGCTTATGGTTTTATATCAGCCATACTAAAATAAAGGAGCAAGTCTTAGAGTGGGATAGAGACATTTAGGTTTTTTCATGGTTTTTTCTAAGTTTGAAATTGTTTTGAAGGATCTGCAACAGATCTGCAGTATTACGCTCTTATGAGGTTTCCTTTTTAGATGCGTTATGGTAGAGACTAATTTTAACCCCCCAAATACCGCAACTGCCAATTTAAGGGTATCAGATAATAAAAAATGCGTATTGGATTACGAACTATTTGACACATTGAATATTTTCCTTGTTGTCACTGATAAAAATCAAAAGATTGGAAATGATAAAGTGGAAGGTAAGTAGACAGCCGTTTACGCATTATTAAAGTAAGTCCATATTTTAGTACAAATTACGATTGGGATTCTGGATGTGAATGATAACGATCCCGAATTTGTTCAAGAAACCGTTGGTTCTAAAAAGAAAGTAATAGAAAGGTCAGCAGAGAGCACAGTAATTGGTACAGTAACGGCGATTGATAAGGACGGTCCCGGAAATAACGTTGTTATTTACTCTATCAGGTACAGTAATTTGTCAACTAGTGGTTAGTTGTAAGTAATTTTTTAGACCTGTCGATGACAAAACTCCTGATACGTGGGTGGCCATCCATGAGAGTCTAGGAGAAATATTTGTGAAAACAGGTAACAAAATAGATGCTGATACACCACCCATCAAGGAAATCAGATACATGGTTAAGGCATCTGATTCTGAGCGGTTTACTGAGACGGAGGTATGTTTACCCTTGCGGGTCAATTATGTTACTTCCCTCTTTACCTTTATTTTTTTAATTTATTGTCTTTATGTTTAAATGGACGGGATTTCGGCCAAGTCTCGTCTACAGAAGCAGAAAATATAGTAGTAAACTCTTGACTCTTGATCATAAACTGATGATAGCTATACTGAATTATATTAGCTTTGATCCAGGGGCGGTGATGTTGATCAAAAATTATTTAAGTGACAGGTATCAGGCAGGTTCTTTAGGGGGAGAACTTTCGAATTTCTTATATAATGGCAGGGGGATACCACAAGGGTCTGTGTTGGGCCCACTTCTATTTATGATTTATATTTCTAATTTTTCAAATGTAATGAAACACTGTAAATCTCATTTCTATGCCGATGATACCTTAGACCATATAGTACATGGACTGCTAATTGTAACTAAAATATGGTCAAGGACATTGCCTGGGTATGTGCGTTTCAGGGTAAACGAGTCTGTCCGAAATTGTCCGATGAGACACGATTTGAGGCTGTCAACCTATAAATTAACAAACGTCAATTAATTAATCCCTTAGATATGGCAAAAAAAGCAAACCTAACTTGTGGACGTATAGAAGATAATCAGGAATATTTAAAGCTTCCCGTACTACGCGGTTACCATAAAAGCTACTCTTTACGCAATCCGAGTGGTGTTCATACGACTTTAGTTTACCCTGAGATTCACATACCCACGACTACAGTGCCCTCTATCCGTGACCACCCATTTTGTATTGAAAGCATAGGGCTAATAGCAGTCCACGTGCTATATGGTCTAAGGATGATACCCAAAGATATTTGACATTCTCTGCAGAGCAAGTTAACAATGCGTGTGATCTAATTAGTGAAAATCTGCAATTAATCAACAACATCTCTGAAGAGCATAAATTGAAATTAAATGTATCAATTGATGCCTCAAGAATCCAAAAGCTACAAAACGCGTGTTTACGATTCATTTATGGTATCCGTAAATACAACAGGATTAGTCACACTTTAGGGGCCTAAGGTTGGTTAAATGCGCGTAATCGACGTATGCAACATGCTGCGTCACTGTTTCACCAAATTATTTTATGCAAAAGTCCTGAGTCCACCGTACCTTTTCAAAAAATAACCTATCATTTCGGACAGATGTCCTTACGCTAAATTTAAGATAAAAATTATCAAAGTCCTCGTGTGAGATCGAAGGGACTTTAGCGCATTTTTGTGTGGCAGATCAGTATTCTATTAGCCACTTTTTACTCAACCATGAATAAAAGATCTTGTCGAAGGATACCACATTCCCTTTGACGGTACCCACTTCCGATGTCCCGTTCACCCGCAATTCGCGTTTGAAGATTTAACTCCACCATCAGTAAGATCATGTCGGGAGCTACCACATTCCCTTTGACGGTACCCACTTCCGACGTCCCGTTCACCCGCAATTCGCGTTTGAAGATTTTTCTCCACCATCAGTTAGATCTTGTCGGAGATTACCACATTTCCTTTTTCGGTGCATACTTATATTACACCCACATTTTGGGGGATCTCGCTAAAAACCTTCCACAAGATAGTACCATTGAATAAATTTTATTCAATGATAGTACTTAATTTTTGGGGGGCACTTCTCATTGCTCGAGCTTCTATTGGCGACACGAGAAAGAGAGACAGCCATTCGAGATTTACGAAACGCTAAAACGCGTGATGGCTGGCTGGCTAGCTGGATGGCAGCAAATGTGGGCGCGTAGAAGAACTCTTGTAGAAAGGCAACGGGTGTACCTGTATCTACAAGGCCGTATAATTTGTCAACCTTAGGGACAGGGCTACATGATGTGGGGTTGGCGACATCTGGGCGTCATCCTCGAGCGTAGTATACTAACGTAAAGGTTTTTCAGTTTTTTCCTATCTTCTACTACAGTTTTGGTCCGATTCTTTTCAAATTGGTATCGTCGGAAAGATGTTGTAAACGCGCACAACTCCTGCGTGGCGGAATTTTGTTTTTTGTCCTAGGGGCGAAATTAACGACCTTTTGCAAGGCGCGCGCGCGCGCGCGCGTCTTCGAGAAGTAGTCAACTTCGGGCACCTTTTACCTTCCGTTGCGAATTCTGTCACGCGTTTTAACGTTTCGTAAATCTCGAATCGCTTTCTCCCTTTAATAATAATAATAATAATTTTAATCAGTATAAGACAATTGCACAATTGTATAACATCGTCACAAACAGAATATAATAACCAGCGGAGGTCCTTCGTACTAAATCTCACAATATAAATTACTATATAAATTAATAATGGAAACTAGACATTTTTCATACAGTCTAAAGAATTCCTGGTGGCTGTAAACAACATTTTCTATTAAAAAACATTTTAATTTTTTTTTATTGTACAAGTGATGTACCTTCACTAAGTGAATACGGTAACATATTGTAACGGAAACGCTCCAGACATGACGTCGCCTTTGGCGCTCTGGAATTTTCTACGCGCGCGATAGTGGAATTTGTATAGGAATATTCCAGACTTATCCGGTAATTACGCGAGTGTTCTTGACTTACATTGCTTGCGTGTATAAATGGTTGCGGACCGAACATCGCAAGCAGTTTTTACTACCGAACGAGATCGAGTACGTATGAAACATCGAGCGCGGAAATATAAATTGCGAAGTGTGTGATATAAATAATCGATATAAATTGTACGGTTTTTATAGTGTTTTAGTTTTGTTTAATAAATATTGATATACATCGAACCCGAATTTAAAAATCACGTTACAATATTAAAATATTTGCACCCGGTATATTCCGGCGACTTCTTAAAAAATGAATGTCTCGGCTTTTCCAAAAAAACGCTTATTTTTTTCCCTCGTGTTGTAGCTGTGGATATCACTACGGATTATAAACTTTTGTCGATGCTTATACAGGGTGACAATTTGAAAACTTACCCCCCCCCATATCTTAGTAAATAAACGAGATATTTAAAAAAATCAAAATCCGTTTCGGTAATTCGGAGGGGGAATCACAATGACATAGTTGGCGACGCACCCCCTCCAACCCCCTGCGCCCCAGCCACCCCAACTTTTAAATCTTAAATAGTGACCCCCCATGTGTGATACGTCATTGGAAAGCTCTGAAAAAATGCTTTCCAACCATACCAAATAGCATTACATTTAGGTTAGTAATTATCGTGCAAATCAAAAAATAAACATGGAAAATCGTATTTAACCTGAACTTCCAAAGCCGACTCGACAGCAACTCATTTTTGATCGCCAGTTATAATCTATTCTCAAACTCTTGTCGAACCTTTTCAAATGTTGGTTTTGCAATATTTCGACATTCTTGAATTATTCTCTGTCTTAGTTCGTCTATGTTCGCCGGTTGCGTTTTAAATACGACAGATTTCAAATGTATCATATTAGTTTATTTTTTGATTTGCACGATAATTACTAACCTAAATGTAATGCTATTTGGTATGGTTGGAAAGCATTTTTTCAGAGCTTTCCAACGACGTATCACACATGGGGGGTCACTATTTAAGATTTAAAAGTTGGGGTGGCTGGGGCGCAGGGGGTTGGAGGGGGTGCGTCGCCAACTATGTCATTGTGATTCCCCCTCCGAATTACCGAAACGGATTTTGATTTTTTTAAATATCTCGTTTATTTACTAAGATATGCGGGGCGGTAAGTTTTCAAATTGTCACCCTGTGTATGTACCACACAATTGTACACATAGATGGAAAAAATGTCAATATCCCATTCTCACGAAACACACTACGACAACTTTCATTATACTTTAGCCCAAATATGAGGCGGAGCACTCGTTTTTGTAAGATGAATACCAGACTGGCATGACACGAGTTATACCCCACACAATTATATTATAATTAATCACGGAGTACACTAATCTAATGCATAGTAGACGTTTAGGAGCGCTTCGACCTTTAATGTCATGATTAAGAAAAACGCACTGTTTAGTTTGTTGCATACCGTTGAGTGTTGACACATCATGTTCGGACCATGATAGATTAGAGTTCACTGCTACTCCTAGAAATGAAGTAGTGTGCACTCTAGGAATTTCATTATTTTTAGCGCATTTCCACAAAAATAAAAAAATGCGCTATTGTAGCCACTTTGTCCGTCCGTCCGTCCGTCCGCTAACTTTGCGACGCTACTAGTTTTTTATCTTAAGAGCTATTGTTCTACTTTTTTCGCTATTTGGTTCGTTATAGTGTCGAGTCTTGTACCAAGGAAGGAATTTTTTCTGTACCGCTTACAAAAAAAGTTATTGTAAAAAAAACAAAAAACCGTTTTTTACATGTTCCATAATTTTACACTTTTGCCGTTTATTAACGATCCTAGAGATCGTTTATAATTTTGCATTGCTATCTGTCGCCTGCCGGTTGGTCTCTCCGTCTGTTCCTTTGTCTGTCTGTCCATCTATCTGTCCGTGTGAACGATAACTTTGTTTAGAAATGTTCGATCGCTTTTACATCTCCGTTAGTTATGAACTGAATTGCATGAAATTCAATATGGGCATAGATTTAGCCATATAATACGCAATGCCAAAAGTTGAATCGAATCGATTCAAAATTCACAGTGCCCTTTTCGCATCTCGACCATTTATAAGCCGAATTGCAAACTTTTTTACTTATAAAGTATTTGAATGAAATTTGATACATAGGTACTTGGAATAAAGGAAAATCAAAGCCAATTTCAAAATTTGGTTTTGCGCATGCGCAGTGCCAACTTTTTTATTTATGGAAGAATTTAAACGAAATTTGATACAGAGGCACTTGGGATAAAGGAAAATCAAACGCCAATTTCAAAATTTGGTTTTGCGCATGCGCAGTGCCAACTTTTTTATTTATGGAAGAATTTAAACGAAATTTGATACATAAGCACTTCGAATAAAGGAAAATCAAACGCCAATTTCAAAATTTGGTTTTGCGCATGCGCAGTGCCAACTTTTTTATTTATGGAAGAATTTAAACGAAATTTGATACATAGGCACTTGG